GTGTGTGTGTGTGTGTGTGTGTGTGTGTGTGTGTGTGTGCCTGCTCGCGCCCTTTAAGGTTTCTCATGTCAGGTTCTTGAGATACTTACTAGGGTTGGACTGGCTCATGGTTGGAGTCCGCTCTGGTTGGGCTGGCTGAACCCTGTTAAAAGCTGTTTGTAGCAATGAGAAACAGGCACATAGGAACAGAGAGGAAAAGGAAGGAGAAGGGGGACAAAAGAGAGCTTCAGGTCTCGGGAGGGCTCCATCCACATGCCCAGCTGTTTCACTTTGAGCAAAGCTGAAGGCAATTTCACCGCAGCATGATATCAAAAACAAAAGGGATATATGCCGGGAATATTTACAGGCCTTGAGTCAGCTTCATTTGCCTTGTTTCATCTTGGAAAATGAAAACATGACTGAGAGGATGTGCCTGATGACAGACAGCAGCGGCCATCGTCAAAGGAATGTTAGCTGAGATGCTTGATGGAGTGGATTAGTGGTGACCCCGGGGTTTAGGATCGCAGGGGCTTATGGGTGTGGACATGATGGTCAGACTTACAGCAGCCTACGTCTCCTGGATTCTTGTTCCAACAAAGACATCTCCCCCTCCCTTCTGCCCTTGACCCACGATCCCTGTCAGTCCCACATTGTCTGTCTGTTCGTACCTGTGTGTGTGTGTGTGTGTGTGTGTGTGTGTGTGTGTGTGCATGTGCATGTGCATGTTGTTGATGAGGCTGACCTGGGCCGACTGGAGAAGATAGCTGTCTCCTCATAGCCGACCCTGCCTCTTGTCTGCGCAGACCTGGGACCAGAGTTTGGGGAGCGATGAGATAACATTAAAAAACATTCACCAGTTCATCTTCAACTGCACATTAAATACTAATATACAATAAATCTATGAATATATCATATATAGATATATGATGACAAAGACTTTATGATGACTTTAAAACTTTTCACAGTAACAATGTGATGTCCCCTCTTTGTAATGGCAGCCAAAAGATTGAAGACCATATTATATTTAGAACTAAACTGTAAATCAGATCTGTGGCGCAAATGTGATCAGTGCCTGAATTAAGATTAACAGGTTTCTCCTTTACATTAATTGTGATAATGACTATACAGGCAAAATAATATAACATGAGGACTACTAGTTCAGAGGAATGGAATATTCCCATTTTTATTGCCTCTGCCAAGGAGGTTATGTTTTCTGTTATGTTTGTTTGTTAGCAGGATTACACAAAAACTCATCTGAATAATCAGGGGGCAGGTCCAGGGATTTGTTTTCACTTTCTTTAATGTTGCAAGTATAAAAAAAAAAAAAGTCCTTAATTTTTCAGAGAGTATATAATTACTCCATCAACTTTCATTCTAATCTGTTGAGTAATTTTTGCATAATCCTGCAAACCAGCAAACAAAACAGAAAACATAACCTCCTTGCCAGAGGTAGTACATGCTTTGCTAATACGGAGTGAGTAGTAGTTGAATCCTGTATTTCAGTGTATTTGACAGTAACAACACAGAAAGTGCTTCTTGCAGCCCTATGTTAGCAGTGTTTAAAGCAGCTGTGCTGAGACAGAACAGAGACGCCATGCAAAGTGTATCAGTACAGAAACAAAGAAAACAGATAGAGTACATGTGGAATCAATTTCAGTCTATGAAAAGGTAGAATGAAAAAAGAAACACAGAGATTAAAGCTTGGTTTACCTGTACTGGCACGCTGTGGAAATCTATTCGGATAGGCACCTCCTCTGAATACTTTGAAGAAATGCCAATGTTAAATTCAACTTGAATCGCTGTATTTTGGGTAAAGGAATTTTTCCATGAGCTGCAGAATCAGTGAGAGGATCGACATACCTTGGCCGGGACTCTTTCCTTGACTGATTTGTGTCTTCCCTATACCAATAACACAATGTGGGGCAAATTTAGACAAGATAATTGTTGTTTACATGTAAATTAGGTAGAAAAAATACTAACGTCAACAGTTTTGGTTTTAGCATCTACTTCTATCCCAAGTCATGGTCCTACTGTTTTAAGTGTTTAGCTTAAAACAAGTGAACTGAACTAATTTCACTTTAAATACACAAGTTGTGCCTTTGATATTGACAAACTTGCTTTGAATCAGGACCAACCATAACTTTAAACACAGAATATTATAAATCCTGATGCACGCTATTCCCAAAAGTCTGATGTGAAGTAAACACCCCATGCTTCATGGAAATTCCTGCACACCCTGATGTTAAGCAACACCAAAGCACCACTTCATGCCACCAAAAAAAACGTACAATGTTGACCCCCGTTTGCTCTGCTCCACTTACTTGAACTTGCCGCTGCCACAGAGGCAAGGTACGGGTGACTGCTGCCTAGATAGAAGAAAGACAGATGGGGCGCCAATATGGAGACGAGAGAGATAATGTTACAGAAAATGAAGGAGACAGAAATGGTTGGGAGGTTGTCTGGCACACAGCCCATTTCATTTGCACACATACCTTGGAGATACTGCGGCATTGTCTACCCTGTGTCGCTGCGTTTCTATCCAAAACAGGGCAAATGACTTGCAGCGATTACCGCCTGATAAAGTTTTTGTCTCATAAAAACAATGAACGGTCTGGTGATCAACTGAACAGCAGGGTGCCAAATCAAAGACCAGTGGTAATTTGTTGTAATTGCAGCCGTGACTTGGAATTACCAGCCCCAAACATTCGCTTTCATCGCTCTGATTCCAGTTAAAAGCAGCTAAAGTTGTTAGTTCTACCTCAGCTACAGGCGGCACACAGGCTGCAGTGGATCTTCTGCATGGATTGGTTTTACTGGATCATTAACTGCATCCAAGTAAACGCACAATCCTCCACATGTCATACATGGATCCATTGATTGAGAAGAAAGAGTTGGCTTGTTGTATGTATGCAACAACAACATGTGGGTGAGGTGGGCTTTTGTACCTGCATCCCTGACTTTGTGCACAGCAGCTCGAGCTCTGGTAGTCGTGGATGGCGGCGGAGGTGTTGTGGTGCTGGTGGTGGTGGTTGCAGCCTGTGTGGTGGTGGTGGGTTCAGGTGTTGTTGTCGTGGTGGGTTCAGGTGTGGTCGACAGCGGCGTGGTGGCCTCCTTTTGACCTACGAGGAGACAGCAGATAGAGGCAGTCATATAGCAGATGGATGTATGTGGAGGAAGAGCGTCTACACTAACTGCTGTGTTGCAATGCATTCTTGACATTCTTAACCAGGACTGCAGAGCTTCGACTCCTCGCTCAACCTGAGTGAAGTTCAACATGCCGGAGTCAAGCGCAGGGTCGTCTATCAAGTAGCTGTTTGTCCCAGAAATCATCGATCTGGTGACATCTGTATGTCTACATCTGGCTACTATTTCAGTGTGAAACAAGACTTAATATATTTGAAAATATAATTCATAATATCTTGGTAAATTTGCCCAATTTGAAACAAGAATCTCTTGATTTGCAAATCAGTCCTAATCAGATTGTGAAACATTCATCATTTTTTAAACCTCTCATTGACAACATAAAGGCCCTGCACCTGAACTCATAGTCAAATTAAAGATTAAAATCAGAGTGTAGAAATAACCCTCCTCTCACTTGTCTTCACGTAGGTTGGTCTTGAAGGAACATAGTCCAGAGTTGACGGGTAGATGACTCCTTTCTTCGGTTTCCCCACTGAAACACAACAGAGCCATCTGTTGGCTGGAGGCTTTATTCTGCAGAGCTATGTTCAATGTTGTTTGTTTGTTTATTACCTGAGACAACAAAAGACTCCCTCCACTTTGGTAGAGACAGAGATCGCACCCCGTTGGAGTTGCTGCCTTTGTAAATGTTCTGGCCGGCCATCTTCCTTACGATCACCTTTCCTCCTGTGTTGGTGATGACGCCGCTGTGGACGCAAACATTTTTATCATCAATAATGATTACTGTCCCTCACAGGAACTTTGTTTCATGTTCATCGCCCCACTGTTCACCTGTGGATGGCTGCGTTGCAGATGCTGGAGATGGAGGCGAACACCCCCGTCCCGTAGACTTGCTGCTTTGTCTCTTTACAGTGGGCTGGACACTTGGCTATGAACTCTGGGAGGTTGATCTTTCCTGCTCTGACATCACACTCTATCTCTGGAACAACTGGAGAGAGGAGGTAGAGCAATATGGTTAAAGACAGGATTTTATACAGGGCAAGATTTCATTCTTATCATAGAAATACAAAAGCAAAAAGGAAAGTGGTCTGATAACCTACATTATTTATTTGTCATAAAATATTGTTATATATTATTATGTTATTTAAAAAAAATCCTATCTCACAATGTTAACGAAAAGAAATAAAATCCTGGATCCATCCCCGGATCCAGATCCTCACATAGGTTTGATGGGTTTTTCCATGACCTATCCCACATCCTCCCACCATTGGTGGTAATCAGTGAGTAGTTTTTATGTAATGCTGCTAACTAACAGAAAGTATAACTAACAAATGCTGTAACTGTAAAAGGTTCAGGCTATAGATTTGAATAATTCGTACTTTGTCTTTGTCTTATATGATAGCTACTGATAGCTATAGCTTTAAAAAACTATTGAGTTATACTCCTTTGGGGCTTTGGGAAATTCTGACTGGTATTTTTTTTTATTTACTATTATTTTATTAATTAATTTACCAAATAATCAGCAGAATTATTATAACAAACACAGCCTGGTTTTAACTCCTTCACAATAAAACAGGATCAGTGACATGCTGCTGAAACAAATTCTAATAATAATAACAACCAACTTCAGCCCAATTAATAATGAATAAATAAATGCTCTGAGTTTTTTAATTATAAGGCCTTTTTGAAGTGAGTTGACTGCAGTGCAGAGAGGCAGAGGACACAGAATTGTTTTTAAATTATGTTTATTTTATTGTTTCCTTATTTTTATCCTTCACCATGTACAGCGACTTTGAGAGCTTTGAAAAGCGCTATATAAATATGATGTATCATTATTATTATTATTATAGAAGCACTGGGAGTGATGGAGATTACAGCCCTGATAGTTGCTGATGTCACCTTGCTTTGGTTTCTTGTTCTTTGCTCCGTTAGGCTTGGCCCAGCAAGCACAGGACAGGAGGAGCACTGCTGGGGAGGCAGAGGGAGTTTTACATAAATAACAGACAGAGACGTGATCATCATCGTGTGCAACAGACAGAAAAGAGAGTCAGAGGGAGATGCACTGGCAGAGTATATATGTGGAAATATGATTATTATTTTATTTGAAAGCAGCGTCCTCCTGCAGAGAGACAGAGTGGTCGCTCACCGAGGCAGATGGCGGTGGGTGATGCTCTCATCGTGATGGATGGTGTGCTGGTTGAGGAGGTCAGCCGAGTGTCCGTGTACAATCTCCCAACCTTAGAGAGAGAGAGGAGGAGCAGCAGAATTTCATTGTTATTCTCTGAAACCAAACTCCTCAAGTATAGTCTGACGTCTTAGTCAGCATTTCAGCTCGAGTATAAACTTGTGCCACTGAGATAAACTTTCCAGAGATTTCTGGATGAACAGCAGATGGTCTATAGACCTGCACAAAGAGCTGAATGACTCATGAAGTGCATGTGAATTCTTTATATTTTTGTAAAATTTAAAAAAATCTTATGGTGCTTGTTTTCTAAATCTGTATTTATACAAGCTATGAAAACAGTATATAATCACTTGTATCATTTTGAAAAGAATTTCATTTTATTTTATGCATAATAATATCATACTTGGACATCAATTATGGGCAATAATAGTGATGTTAGATTAAATAGATAGATAGATAGATAGATAGATAGATAGATAAATAATTAAAGTGCTTTTACAATCTATGCTGTCATGTTCCAAGATATGTATATCCTGTAAGGGGGTTAATATAATTTATTATTATAATTATAATTATTTCATTATTTTGAAAACATCTTTCATAACTTGTGTTGCCCCATCTACTTCTCGGTTTAGATCAGTAGCTGTTGGCTATAAAATGTCTAAACCTTTTTTCCAGTAGCTTAACAATGAACATCTGGGCTCTGAGACAAAACGTGTGTGAGTCCTCCCTCCTCTATCTGAGGAGTCAGACTCAATTAGAGAGAACACACAGACATCACTTAATGAGTCAGGAATGGAGAACTGTGTCAGACGGCTTCTTTTGTTTGACACCAACAACCACATCAAGCAGGGTCCCAGTTTGAAGTAGTGACTGTTTCCAGTAGACTCAGCATTTATTTCTGCGCCTGTCATTCCAATTTAAAAGTTACACCCACGTGAAGACAATCAAGCAAAGCCAAAGCCTGCGTTAACAACAACACAAGTGGGTCACTGACATGTCGCTCCAGACCTGAAGTGATGGTAGCCCTGGTGATAACTATCTGAATTAATTCACACGGCCACACAGAGTCTTATTACACCGGCTGGTGGGTGAACTACTCCTGAGAGCCACCCCAGGCCCCGCTGTGAGCCAAGGTGCTGGGACGGAGCTCCCTCCCAGAGAGGGTGATGACTGAGGCCTCCCTGTTAACAGAGGAATGCTGTACCTCCCACGAGGGCGGCGTCACGTCTGTCACTGCCGCCACACACCAGCAGGTTCAATCTGATCAAGTGGGAACATGTGATCATACAGCGACCTCTGATGCAGGGTCACATGGGATGCAGCTCTGACTGACGTTTACAGCCCGTTAGCAATATGAAGAGGGACGACTGAATACACAGCGTAATTATACACCTGTCGTATTTGTGACTAGAAGATCTCTGGTTGTAATTACACTGAGTAAATCATGGCCCTACTGCAATGTGACAACTGAGCAAGGCCCAAAACCAGTGCTGCGTTCAGGTGCTAATGTGTGAAGAGGGAAATTAGCTTTCAGCTACATTTTCCAGGATAAATGATGGTTTAACAAAAAGTACCACCTCGTGGTCTTATTCCTGCTCCAAGTTGAAGGAGATATGATCACGTGATGGCGTCTTTGCAGCCGCTTACATTATGATGTCACAGTGAAGTTGACTTTTACCTTTTGGATGTGAAATCCCATTAGACATTTCGTGTTCAATTGCGTCATAATTAGAGTATGAAATCTTCTTGTGTGACCAAAAACATGTCATATGCATGTTAGTTGAAGACATTCCCTTGAGGCGTTCCTGAGGTATTACATTCACGTAAGTGGGACAGACAGATTTACAACCTGAAGTTTGAAAGCCTCAGGCCATGGCTGTCACCGGTGTGGATGCAGAACACAGAAAGGGAACAAGCTATGGGGGCTTTATTGTAATTCTATTGTCAGTAATTATAACTGTATTTCAGATATAAATTAACTCTGCTGACTGACACAAACATCGAGTTCACTTATTCACTCTCCACATGAAAGAATTTCAACACAACTCTGATGTCTGTACAGTAAATACAGCCAGCAGCACATTAGCAAATGGAAAACAAGGAAACATTAATTCAGAATCTGTCCAAAGGAGAATAAATCCACCTGACGGCACCTCTAATGTTGAGTAATTAACATGTTACATCTTGTTGGTTAAAGCTGTACTGAAACCACAGTGTAGAAACGTTTGTTTGACTTATTTTCTGGAACAACAACAAAAAAAAAAAAGTTTCTTCCCTGCTTTAGTTTTTCCCGTGGTCATGTTTGGACAATGTGAAGGTAGCTGTTTCCCTGATCTTTTCATCAGACTCTCAGCAGGAAAGCAAAATCTCTCTCCCAAATTGTCAAAAAGATTTTTCAAAATATGAAGAGAGAATAAGCAGTGGTCTCTTATACAATAACATCCTGTACTGTGCTGGTATACAGTCCTGTCAGGCTGGTAAACACAAGTGTAGTGATGTGAATGAACAAGATCTCTGGGTGTTATCTCTCTCTCCATGTGTGGCTCTATTGTAGTTTCAAACTGCATGTGGTTCATGTTGTGTGGTAATTATGGAAACCTTAGAAATAAACACTTCAAACGTAACATATCATGTGAAGGTGAAAAGTAATATAGCTGCAACTGGCAGTGAAAGGACTTTCCCTGATGCGGCTCCACATTTTTATCTGACATTCATGAGCACTGACATGATTTTTCCACAGTGTTGTGCTTTGACAAGCAGGTAGATCCCTGCTGCACATTCAGGACTACAATTTGTCCTTGCGGGGGAAAGAAATCTGAGGTTGGGAACAAGCCGGGACAGATATGTACATCTACTCTGCGGGAGACAGACCTGCAGCGTTGGAATAGGTGAGTCAGTGCACTCCACTGAATAAAGCAAACAACAAATCTGATCTGTCTTTGACCTTTGAGGAAATCTTAACTGTGAGCATCAGGCTCCACCAATGCTGAGAAGAAAAGAAAGAAGTGTGTTTATAGTGATGCTGTTCCTCCGAAGAGTCCTTTAAGAGAAGAGTGGCATCACTGTGGGTGAAAATGAAATGTGTAAATGAATTACGAGAATTTAAAACCTCTGAATCTGCGTTCTCCAGCCTGTTCTCTAAACGCCTCCTTCTCCGAGAAATGAAACGCATTACAGGGTAAATGATATCCTTTGACAAACACTGTGGGGAGTTTCCTGTACAGTAGATAATAGATCCTGAGGGCACACACACACACACACACACACACACACACACACACACACACACACACAAACACACACACAGCTAAATGAACCAAAAACAAACAAAGCATAGATCTGAGATCACACATCACATGCTCAGATAGCTTTGGAGAAAGCCTTTCAGACTCACCGCCACCATAAATCACAGACAGGGTGGGTGGGTCACCTTTTGTGCGAGTGTTGTATATTTTGCATACACCTGTGTTAGACTTGTGATAAGGCATGCAAAGCTTGTCCCTTCAGTGCATTCTCAGCTGGCCTGTTTTTATATTTATACATTTTTCACCATACTGAGATTCTCAAACATCTAATTTCAGCAGGGTGGGGACACCAATCAAACAAACCATCATTGTAACAAAACAAAAAAGATCTAAGTAATTTCACAGCCACTTGCAAAGATGCAAGTTTCTGTGCAGAGGCTTTTGTAGAGAACCCTGCAGCTCAGACAGGTCACATAGTTTCAGGATTTAAAAATGCAATTCAATTCTGGACAACCCTCTCTCTAAAATGTAGATTACACGCACAAAACAACCTCAACCAAGATTACATAAGGCCGAGTTGCACAAAAAAATACCTGTTGTTGCAACGAAATTAACATTTTCAGCTCCTGCAGGCAGATTGCAGAGAGCAGCAGAAATCTGATAATGCAGGATGGAAATCACACCTGGCAGGAGCATCACAGTTATACAGTGGCTCTAATGCAAACAGGATGTACACTAGCTATCTGTATTTCAAAGGCCAGCCCACAGTGGGTTCTCAAAACATAGGGCAGACCACACACACTTGTGACTGGTGCACTATAGTCTTGAAGGTGCTTGAAAGCATTGGGGCATAAGCATTATTTCACATTTTACCCTTAAAACGTTCTCCCGGTGACATGTGGTGAACTTATGGCACAAGCAGCTTCAGGCAAAACAAAAGGACAGTTTTTCAAGCTGTCTCCAGTTCAGCAGCACGCATTCACATTCCTAGTCTGGAGTGGTGAAAAGGGACGGATATTATATGAGTACAATAACCAGCTGAGGACTTAATTCCACCATGGTTCTAAGTGATGGCCCGTCTGAAAAGAGACAGCACACACACACCCTGTGCCAGGGAGTGTTAAATCCGAGCATTCACAGGTGTCAGAATCGTAAGGTAAGCTTGAGAGATGTGCCAAGTGTTGTTAGGAGCCAACTTTATCAAGAACCACTCGAGAGATCACACATAGGGAAGCCAACATGTCTCTACAAGGTCACTTCTATCGCCTTTTGGGAAGCTGCTGCTGCTGGGACGCTTTTTGTTTATGGAGCACAGTACAGGCTGAATTACTTTAATACTTGGCACTGGCTTCAGTGCAAGCTGGAGCATGTAGCCTGCAGATGGACATATCGTATAGAGACCAACTGAGTTTAACCAGGCTCTGTCAGACCATACAGAAATGTCAGAGTGAGCACACAGAGAAATGTCAAACACCATATTCAAGAAATTAAAACAAAAGTGAAGGAACTCAGCTCTGAGGCGTGCAAATGATCATACTGGCAAAATGGATCCTTTCAAATAAAGTCACAAGCAACCTGACAGCTTCATTTTCCGCAGATTTGTCTTTTTAAATGAACCATTAGAAGCAGCCTACAGTATGAATGAGGCCAAATTCATGAAGCTGAAAACCTCACTGAGGGAGGGAGGAAGGAGGTGTTTACTAAAAGAAATAGGAAAATAAACAGAAAGTGAAACAAGCGCTGAATTTGAGCAGCAGAGCGCTTATTTGGGCAGAATGTCAAAACCTCACATCCTCAGCAGACACGAACCAGAGCCATGAAGTGCAAATGAAACAAACGTTAATGAAAATTAAAAACGAAAAAACATCCTGCAATTTTCATTAAAATTCACCACAGATCTGACTATTAAAACTAAAAACGCGCTTGGATTAAAAAAAAAAGGGGGGGGGGCTCATATTACGCGCAATTACGCACGATTTAAAAAGTGAATGATTCATTCGCGCCACACAGCAGTCAACTCAAAATCCCCAGTTCACGTGCGGAGCTGTGTCTCTGCTCCAACCCATCGTGTCCGTGAGACAACGAAGGTGCACTTACCTGCCAAAGCAAAGTAATCCTCCAGGCGTCACAAAAAAACCTGGTAATTCCGTGCGTAACTCTCGCCCGAGACCTCACTTCTTTCCCTGCAGCGGGCGTGTATGGAAACGCTGAGCTGCTCCACCTGGACTCTTACTCCTGCATGATCGGAGCGCTCAATAAAAGCGCAGAACGGGACGGGGCCAGAGTTTCCCCTCTCTTTGCCCGTCCCACTTCAGTCCTCTCAGCTCTTCACCCAACAGGCAGGATCAGTAACCCGGGGCCATCAGGAGAGGATGCAGGGAGCTGGCACCCTGCAGCAGAGGAGTGCACGCATCTTTTTGTGTGTGTGTGTGTGATTGTCAGTTATTTTTTCACCAAGACAGAAAAGACCAACACATATTTTCTTGGTTCGAGCATGCCCAGCAGGGTGAAGATCTGCCTCATGTTGGCTTTTGGAGCTTCATATTTTTGTGCAAAAGAGGGATACCTGAGCAACAATTCAGTTTTTTTTTCCTTTTCTGCATCTCACTCATCCCATCATCTGACTGAGAAATAAAACAACCAGGAGGAAAGAGTGTGTGAACTCTCACCACAGCAAACACTCCTATTCCAACAAACAAACCAATCAACACCTGTCTGGGAAACACAGACACTGCAAGTCACAGCCAGTGTCACTCTGGAGTTTGTGTGTTCGCTGTAGTACACAGTACATGAGAACACAGACACACACACAAGAAGAGAGAGGAAGAGCCTGTTGGTTTATGCAGATTGGCACCCAAGCTACTGCTTATCTCTGTTGTAGGGATGGTTAGGCTGAAGCTGCCATTTTGATTTAAAGGTCTTAAGGGCTCCCGTAAAAGAGCTCATTGTGTGTGTATGATTATGGTCTTTGCAGAAACCAGGAAAAATCACCTTGGGAACTTTTTTTTAAAGATTAAACCTTCGTGGCTCAAGTAGATAATTGCCCAGTGATGTTGCAAGAAAAGCAAAAAAAAATCCAGTGCTGGGGTTGTTCATTGTGTTTTGAGCGGTGCCATTAGTCTGAAAGTTGTTATCTCACACATGGCCTGTTGGGAGAGTTTTCACAGTGTTGAGTAAAAATAAACCCATTCAGTCTACATCCACATGTCTACATTTTCGTTTCAATGCTGGCCTCCACAGTTCTCCTCATTTGGAACCGCTGCTGGTCCGGTAAGAAATGCTCACATAAAATAAACCGATTGTTTTAGTTTGAAAAAAGTCTGTTTTTATCTGACAGACATGATGCTGCTCCAGTGGATGGAGATTTAAAATGATACGTATCTATAGGATGACAGTGCTGAACAGAGTCTAGTCTATAGCATCTCCTGGGCGATGTGGGATATACGTGCGATCTATGGCATGAGTGTCCTGAGGGCCAGCAGGGGAAATGACAGAATACTGGTTCATTACAGGCCTCAGCTGAGCTCAGGACATTTCAGTGTTTCCAGATGTTTTTTGTGCATCTCTTGTGTTGCTACATTTTATCAGCTCGATTCTGTCCGAGGATTCAGGTATCACCTTGGTTCATGCAATATGTTACCGATAATAATTTGGATTGACTGATATCAAGAAAAGAACAGTTAGAACTGACAATGCTTTTCAGCAGGTGTGAAACATAAAATTTATTAATACCAGTTACACATACAGTTTATTAACAAGACCAAAAAATACAAAATTACTGTCAATCTCCACTTGTAATTCAAGTAGTGGTTCAAGTCAAGTGTCCTCAGAGCCTGTCGCACCAGTACTCTGATGTTTCGATGTGTGAGGGCACATCGATGTGGAAGACCTCAGGTTCTGACGGAGGAGTCTGAGGAGGGCTGTTGACCCCCGAGTCGCTTTCAGGATTGTATGGGTTATCCAACGCTTTGTACTTCCCCTCCAGCTGCTGGACAGGAAGTGCCGCAGCTGGGGGCATGGCCTCGGCCTTGGGTTTGATGTTCTGAAAGTTCTGCAGGTGCACCACCTCCCTGCGTTCGTGCATGCATGGCAGCAGCACAGAGATGTCCTTGCGGAATTTGGAGCTCATGCCGAAGTAGATGAGCGGGTTGTAGAAGCTGGCAGACTTGGCAAAGAGACGGGTGAGGATGCTGGTTGTGCTTGGCACATGGAAGCCCCAGGCGGACCACATGGACACCACTGCATATGGCGACCAGGCCATGATGAAAGCAGTGCAGATTACGATGGAAATCTAGAGAGGAACATGAGGGAACGATTGTCAGGAGCGGCAGTACGCAAGGGCACTTTTAAGTAGCGTTTTAATGAGTCTAATTTGACCTTTGCAATCAAGTCTTTCCAATAAAAAACTCCGGAATAAACTTTTTTTCCTGGTCACCTACCCGTGTTACATCTCTCTCCACCTTCCTCTGGCGGGTGGTAATCAAACCATCAGCAGACATTGCATTGGAGCTTTTCACTGTGTTGATAATGGAGACGTAGGCAAAGAGCATGATCATCACAGGGATGAAAAAGCAAAACATGAGGATGGAGATGATGTAAGATTTGTGGATGGTGGAGTAATTTGCTTTGGACCAGTCCACCTCACAGGTGCCGTAACCTCGATCTAAGGAACATAAGCAGGCGCAGATGTCAGATAAAGGCTTTAAATAAATTCTTACATATTCTTTTATTTTTGTCAGGTCAGTGCGTGAGAACAGACCTGTGTAGCTGCCCCAGCCCAGCAGCGGAGCCACAGACCAAAACGTTGCTCCAGTCCAAATGCAGATGAGCGAAACAGCGATGGTGTTCATGCTGATACAGTAAGCTGCAAAAACACATGACAAGCAACATGAATACAACATTTTATCATTATTTCCATATTTGTGCCACAGCTGTTTGATTGTGCGCAGTTTAAAAAGGTTGAATGTCAGGACTTTGGCAAACACGGGACAGAAAAAGTGAGAGGCACGTAAAGACGCAGCATTCCTGACTTTTTATAAATGTCAGGATTGTGACATTTATTAAACAATGAGGTCTTTTGTTATTCTGACAGCCTTCACAAACATTGGTGACTGAAAAAAAACCTCAGCTCTCAATGTGCTTTGTATTCAGGGAAATTAATAAAAAATCTGTCTGCTCTAGTTCCATGTTTGGCTCGTTTTGGATTGACAAAAGAGGTTCAATAGAATTTAGAGACATTTTTGTCATCTTGTATTTCTCATAACAGGCTGGTATACTAACAATTTAGTCATCCCACTATTAATCTTCTGCTTCCAATCTCTTTCTATAGCGGCAGTCAATTGATTGTGTGAATAAAGAGAACAGATAAGTTTCAGTGAACAGGTCATACCCTCAAGCACGCTTCCTTTAAAAACATGGAAACATTTCCAGTCAAATTATTCAAAGTGTATATAAGCCCAAAGAATTGGTCAAATTTTTTTAAGAGAACTCTTATATACCACTTGAATACCAGTTCTCACTTAATTTTGGGGCAACAGAAAAAGTCAAAAAGAACCATAGAGACTCCAAATTTCATAAATTATTTAATTATCATAACCTCTTTTTTTGTTGTTCTGGAGAAATCCACAGATCTTCTGTTTGAAGGTTTGAAAAAGGATTGTGATGGGTTTGAACGGGGCAAAACAAGGGAGATAAATTGTGGTATAAGCTAGAAATTATGTCTGGAGACTTTAACATTGTCCCCTTCCATGGTTTTTAAATTCTTTCTTTCTTAATCTATTATTACCGTTCAATATGCAATATCATTGTTTCTACCTGCACAGGTTTGTTTTATTAGCATTAATTTGCTTAATTTGTATCTGAAACCGCACTGCATCTTTAATATCTACTGTAGATCTATAAATCTGTGGACATCTGGAGTATTTTCAGCTCTAGAACATCATACAGGTGATGATATCCCCTAGATGTTCATTGTTTAACCACTAATGTAAAAACATAAAAAAACACACACACAAGTTTATATAACTCATGTTTCACGAAAAACCACAAACACGACAAAAAACCTGTATCCACGCTGACAAAAGAAGCAGTTGCTTGACCTAATTTCCATATAATTAAGACATTCTTCGGCATCAGTTGCACCTGAAAATAGAAAATGTCACCTCAAATTAACTTAATGACATGTTGGCAAAATGAAATTGCTGGAGACAAGTGGTAGTTATTCTCACAGCTGAGGTCGGTAATGAGGTTTCAGTGGCAACGGAAAAACACACTTTTCTGTCAGATAAGAGCAGCTGGAACATGAGGAAGGTAGATACAATGGTCTGATGTTTTCTAAATGCTCTAACACTCGAATGCACAGAGGTGGGAGCTGACCTTTGTTTGGGTGACATCCCTTTATGTATCTGGTGATGCTGATGACGGTTAAGGTGTTGATGCTTGCGAGGCCGAACAGCAGCGTGAAGAAGCCATCGACCTGGAAGCAGACAGATGTGTTGGTGGATCACGACACAACATCACAACATCCAAATCTCTTTGAGCCTCAGGGTGTGCATTCAACTAAGTGTTGAATAACTTTGTCTGTTTGCTTTGGATTCTATCAGATGGAATCCTCATGTCTGGAGAGCTCCTCATGCCTTATGGCTTCCTTTTCTTTTCCTTTTTTGATGTACAGGGTTTGAAACTTGTAGGACCTGCAGTTGGAAACTAAAACAGAAATTCATCTGGAGCTGTTAATAGATTTCTTGGATCTGAGGGAGAAAAAGTTGAATGGCATTAAAACAATGAAGCTCTGCAGCGTTCAGTCCATTGTGCAGGGAGACACTCTTTTAATCACCATTCCTCTTAAAGGGGATTATGCTTCTGCATTTCAGACTGGCTCCAACTGTGCAACACTGCAGCTCCCTGTTGTGCCAAATCCAGGTGACATGGATCAGTTAAGATTCTTTACTGGTTACTTTCTTGATCTTCCTTAGTCTTAATCCTATTACTGTCAGTCATCATGTTTTTCACCCTCACATTTGATGATTACTGGACGTCTAGACCCGTATGACTTTATATCAACATGAATTTATTGGACATTTTCTGTTGTAGTAAGGTTTTAGGACCTGGTGCATAAAGATGATGACTTCTTGAAATGATGTGATTGATCCTCTCTGCTCATCTCGAAGAATGGTATCACATCTTTCTCTGGCTTGGAGGACAAGAAAAGGATCACAGAACAGAATAGTGGATTAAAATATTTTAATCACCTTGATCACTGGTTTGATTCTTCTTTTTCCCTATTAATCTTGGTAACAAAAA